TCTTTAATATCTAAGTTTGGAATACACATAGGCTGGTCAATGTTAATATTGGTACGTGGAACCCCCGCCCCCACATAAGACAGATTTAAGTAGAGGTTTTTGCAAGTTTTAATTTTGAAGATTTAAATAGAAAACAAAGAGTGCTAAAATTCTATTAATTCTTTATCAATTAATCCCGATAGAAAATTTAAATAAGCTATTTATTTAACTGCTAAAAAATCCCATTAATGTAAAATCTGGATAATTATTTGACAATCAATCCTCTGCAAAAGAAAGAATCGAGTAAATAACAATAAAATAATTGTGAATAAATAAACGAACTAGTGTTATTTTCGGTACAAAAAAAAAAACATTTTCCCAAGCCAAATTTTATATTTTTATATAATGTCCCATACCAAATTATTAATATCATTATCATCAGAAAGAAGTGAATTTTTATATAAAGTTAATAATGAAATACATAAGAATGCTATATTAATTCTGATGAAGTAAGTAGAAAAGATTATTTTTTTCATTGATAAAAAAAAAAACAAGGAACTTTCTGAAAATGAAAATGAATTTTGCAAAGAAAAGTTTATTTATGATGTTAAATTAAAAAGTGCAAAAGATAAATTGGGAAAACCAAAAGAATGTAACAAGTGTAAATTGACAAAATACTCTGATAGATTCTGCGAAGGTTGTATTAGTTTACAATTACAAAGTCTTTTCACTATATGGACATCTGGAAATAACATAATTGATGGTTTGATTCAACAATGTCAAATGAAATCATCTCTGCCACAGTATATTTTAGAATTGTCACCAATTGATTTTTTGTCTTTGATTTCTCCTTTTAAGACTTTGTTGTAGACGCGATCAAAAATTTCTGATTTAATGATTTCCGGGTGATTGTTCTTCAATTGCATTTATTTATAATTGAAAATAAAAAGATGAAAGGTAACCTCGTAAGGTATGAAAGTGAAAATAAAAATAAAAAATAAGATAATTATAAAATAAAGAATTTTAAATAAAGGAATTTTATCAAATGACTTGTGTAAATTTCCACACAACTCGCACCAAGTTGTCACCGATTAATTTTGGGAGAGCGTGTTTTAATTGATGATAACAGATTTTTATTAATTTATGTGGATCAGAATGAATAGGCTAATACTAACGAATTAGATTTATTAGCGAATAATTTTGTTTTAGTGATTTGATAAAAATGATTTATTTAATTTTGCATTTAGTCGTAACTAATTATTAACTTATTATCAAGTTAATTTGTTACAAAATTATTCTTCGACTACAGCGAATTCTTGTTCCTTATATACATGTTAGATTATATGTATCCCAATTTGGGATATTCCTCCCGGTCTGGGACAGTGTTGAAATTTCGTTGTGTAACTGTACAAATTTAGAAACTATCTCAAAAAATTATAAATTTGATTGGTGTGTAATGTTACACCCGGACATTCTGGACATTGAATTTTCAACACTGGTCTGGGATAATTCTCCCAGACTGGGGATATATTAATATAGCCCAATCTGGAATAATCTTTGTTAATTTCTACTAAATAAAGGTTCAATGTTAACGTGTTACAAATTAATTAAATCTGCAGAATGCAACATGAGTTCATATAATAATAACTAATTAAAATCATTCGGATAATAATAGATAAATAAATAAATAATATATAGATAAAAATATAAAATAAACAATATAAATAATATAGATAATTTCACTCCGGAATTACGGGGTTATCGATCAGCGAATTAAGGTCAAATTCGTTTTCCGGTGACAGAATGGATACCTTTTGAGCAATTTGAAGGAGTAACAAAGTTGACAGAAGGTGGATTTAGTTCAATTTTTACTGCTGATGGACAAAAGGAATGACTAATGATTATGATGAAAATAAAAAGGAATTTAATTATGATGAAGAGCAAGCAGTAGTATTAAAAAGTTTAAATGATACAAGTAATCCAGGGAAAGGCTTTTTTGATGAGGTTGGTAATTGACATTTAAATCAATACTGTATTATACAATATAATACCAATTGATTTTATATTTAATTTCAGGCAATGAATTATTGTAAAATTAAATCACCAATGATTAATCCTTCCTATGTATAACTAAATTTCTAGATAATAGAAATTATGCAATAGTTTTAAGTTATTATAGAGATGGAAGTTTAAGAGGTCATTTGAAAAAAAAAAAAGTCATTTAAATTTAACATTAAAAGACAGAATTATTGTTTATGTGAGGCATTATATGGGATACATGAAAAAGGTTTAATCCATTGTGATTTACATAGTGGTAATATACTTGCACAAGGAGGTTGTTGTTACATTACAGATTTAGGATTATGTAGACCAGTTGATGAAAAATCATCAAGTAAAGTCTATGGAATTGTATCATATGTTGTAGCTGAGCTGCTTAGAGGCAAAAAGAACACAAAAGAATCAGATATCTATAGTGTTGGGATGTTAATGTGGGAAATATTTGCAGGTCATCCACCATTTGATGATATAACTCACAATCATTGTTTAATTTTTGATATATGTGCAGAAAATTTATGACCACCAATATTACCAGTAATGCCTGATGATTATGTGCAAATGATGCAGAGGTCTTGGATTTGGATCCATCAAAAAGACCAACTAGTAGAGAACTTTTTATTTTACTGAGAATAAATTGAAAGAAATTGATTTTAATGATGATGGTAATGATTTGCAATAAGCACACAAATCACATCCAGGTGCATATCATACAAGTAGAATATTAGATGGTGATACCGCAAAGTAGACTTTCGGTTAATTAGCACGTATGGCAAAGGCTCCAAACGATAGTAATAGTGTTACAACCCGAATTGTTAACGGATTAACGTTATGGGCCCGTTAATATTAAGAATATTTGAACCCGTTTTGTTCGAATTATTCATTTTATTCGTTTATTCGTTTTGTTTGAATTATTTCGTACTATTCGTTTATTCGTTTATTCATTTATATTCATTTTGTTCGAATTATTCATTTACTCTACTCGTTTAATCAAATTATTCGAACTATTCGTTTTGTTATAATTATTCATTTTACTTGAATTACTCTAATTACTCGTTTTAATCGGATTATTCATTTTATTTCAAACTATTCGTTTTATTCAAACTATTCGAATTATTTCGTTTGTTCGTTTTAATTGAAATATTCGTTTGTTCGTTTTATTTGAAATATTCGTTTATTCGTTTTACTCGAATTATTCATTTAATTGTTTTAATCAAATTAATGGAACTAATCAAATTATTCATTTTATTTCGAACAATTCTTTTATTCGTTTATTCGTTTTATTTGAATTTGTTATTCATTTTATTCGAATAAACTTTCAATGTAATCCGAATATTCAAATTCATAACGAGTAAAACAAATAATTCGAATAAACGAATAGTTTGAATAGAAACCCTAATCAAGCAGTATAGTTGTATATGGTGATTTTAGTTTAGTTTTCCAGATTTGGTGACTTCATAATATATAACTCAGATCGCACACCCTGCAATATTTATACGTAGACTGTAAATAATTACGGCATTACGGTCTATGAATTTTACGACTTTAGAATGTCATGCCATGTAATGCTGAATAATAAAAAACTACAATAATTTTTAAAGATGGATGATACTTCTACTGACAAAAATGATGAATATGATGAATATTCATATAGAAGAGAAGTAAGATATGGGAAATGTCCAACCTGCAATAGATATAATACTTATTTGACATGGTGTAAATCATCTGATCCAAAGCTATTGACTGAAGGATGGTCTAGTGGCAATGAAACGTTAGATGAATTGATCAAAAGTATACAACTTAAAGCAATTTATTATAATAATAAACATTATCTTCAATGGATTCCTTATAATGAGTTAACAGATATTGAAAAAATGGGTGAAGGTGGGTTTGCAAAGCTACTTGGTTAAATGGTGAGAAATATATAAACAATAGTCATGAAAGAACTAGTAAAGATAGAATTGTGGCATTTAAAAAACTACATAATTCACAGACTATTTCTGTTGAATTTCTTTCTTTATGAGGTATTTTATTTTATTCTTCTATTTATTTCAGATTTTTTAAATATTTATTCTGAATTAATATTATTTTTTTTTATATAGTTTAGAAATTATGTTACATTTAGTAATAATACATTTATAAATAAAATTTATGGATTAACATAAGATCTGGCTACAAAAGAATATATATCTTTTGTAATGGAATACATGTAAGATGGAAGTCTTCAAAGTTATGAAAATCAATATTCAAAGAAAAGGGATGAAAAGTATGGGGAATGTCCAGCCTGCAATAAATATAATACTGATTGGTCATAAATAGTGACTATATATGATAACTGTTATTGAATTTCTGCTAATAATAATCATTGTGTAAATTTAATTAATGGACTGTCCTACTGCTGTATATGGCAAACATTTTCCCACTTGCCAAGAAATGCAAGAGTCCAAAGAATAATACAAGCTAATCGAATACAGTACATGTGTTCTTCAAGTGTTCATACATATTGCAATGATTCCTTTTAACAACATGATAATAAAAACAACATACGTATATATGTTTCTTTGATTCTCTTTTCTTTTGTAAGATCTGTTTTTTTTAACAATAAAAATAAAGATTTTTTGGAGGATACATGAAATTTTACAACGAAAGGATCTGCAATTTTGGGAATACACAGTGAATCTCGATTTAGCGGATAGTTTGGGCAATTGTAATTGGGAAAAATTTCCAAAATCCGTTAAACCGAGATATCCGCTATATCGAGAAGGTTTTTATTAAGGTTTATTATGGAACCGTTCTTAGATTTTTAATTACTATCCGCTAAATCGAGGTCCGCTAAATCGAGATTCACTGTGTACATATTAATGTTGTACACATCAAAGTTAAATGACAATGATATAAATGTAAAAATAAAATGTTTGTTATAAAAATATTTATAAACTTCATTACTCTATTTATCATTTTTTTACATGACACAAGAAACCGAAAAATTAAAACCTGAAGGCACCAAAGTTAATCATGGTTCGTTCAAAGGGGTTAAAAAACAATCTTATATTAGTATTAGGTATTTATTTTACAAAATTATTTCGCTAATTCATTATTTACATTAAAAAATATATAATATTATTACTGGCTGGTACTAGTGAACTTGCACATCAATCGAAAAACAATCGAAATCAAAATAATATAACAAAGTAAATAAAATCTTAAAATTTAAAAATTTAATTCACAATAAACCGATTATTAGCTGATCGATAGTAATATTAGAATTGGCAAATATATTGCTATTGATTGTGAAGCGGTAGGCATCGGACCTACTGGGAAAAAGTCGGCACTTGCCAGGGTTTCAATCGTTAATTTTCACGGAAAAGTAATATTGGACAAATATGTAATGCCTCGTGATTGTATAACAGACTATCGAACAGAAATCAGTGGAATAACTAGGGAATTGCTCGTAGATGGTAAGGAATATGATATTATTTTTATATATCGTTTCATGTTAATGATATAATATTAATTATTAATTTGTGTTATTGTAAAGCTGATAATTTCAAAGATGTACAAAAAGAAGTTTCAGATATAATCAAAGGTAGAATTATTGTTGGGCATTCCCTCAATAACGATCTAAAGGTAAGCAAGATATTTGTGTGAAATAAATTTTAACCAACATTTCTTTCATAAACATGCACATACATTTCTTTTCCCGTATACCACATATATATATGCACAGTTATTATCACTGCATCATCCTCATAATATGAGACGCGACTCTTCACTCCATAGACCTTTTCTTGAACGTTACAATGGTAATACACCTTCTTTAAAAACTTTGGCAAAAGCAGAATTAAACATAATTATTCAAGAAGGGGAACATAGTTCAGTATGTATAATGGATAATATATAAGATTTTATCTTTTATTTATCAATTGTTTTGAGACTGATGTTCCCCCTACATCTTCTTCCATCCTCTAATTTCCATTAATAGGTTCAAGATGCTCAGACTAGTATGCGTTTATTTCGTAAATGTAACAATTTTTAAAAGAATAAAATAATGATTCGTGATTATAGAAAATAATTTTTTTTTGCTTTTAAGATAAAAATGAACGAATGAGTGAATGAATGATTCATTGATCTTGCTTGACTAAAAAAATTACATAGAATGGGGAAATAGTGCTTGGTTAATTTTATAGTATTTGTTTTCCCACGTATAAAAAAATTAGAACTTTTTACAACATCCGATAAGTTGGAACTCGCAATATATCAAATGTCTAATAATACTTTCTCATCCTTGGAAAATATTTTTTTAACATCTTATTCAATTCTAACAATGATGTTCTACCAATGAAAACATCTTGGCAAACTTTTATAAAAATTAAAAGTTGGAAAAAGTACTTTATCAAATAATTGTAATTATTTTCTTTAAGAAAAATATTTCTCTAAAGTTCTTATAACGTATGTTTAATTTAAATTTAGTGATGTTAATTGATTATATTGAGAAATATTTTCTTTCAAAAGATATATGTTTATTTACAGATGTAATTGTAATCATAAAGCAAATGAAATTTTGAGGCTTGTGATGAATGCTAATCATGTGGTGAATTTATTAACAAAAAACTCGAGAATTTTGTGATTTCAGTGAATAGACAAAGAAAAAAATATTTCACAGTGGAAGATGATATTAAAGGGAGGATATTAAGATTCACTTCAGGTGATCTCTTTAAACAAATTAAATCATATATATAAGTATTTGCTTCAAAAGGTCTAAGGACAGGAAAAGGATTATTTGATTTCTAGTTTTTGAATTAATACTTCATGGGTCTCGTGATGAATTGGTTGCTATAACCAATTTGTTGTTGGAATAAAAAAAAGTCACCAAATGAATGTTATTTGTATTAGTGTTATTATTGTTTATTTCATTTATTCATTATATTCATTAATTGATCAAAAGATTTGTTGGATAATCAATAGATAAGCATTCTAATATTTAATTTAGTTATTAGAATACACGTATCAGTTGTTTTACCAAATACACCATATTATATTTTTTTTAGTATCGGTTTTGTTATTTATCTCCCAGGAAAGCTTCGATACCAAGGGTTGAATGTAGTCTTTTCATCTTTGCCACTATTTTTATTAATGGTCCCAGTCCTTTACCTGAAAAACATCACCACGCACCATTTACCGCCACCGTTATGTTTTACAGTAAGATTAATATTTTCAAGACTTTGTACCAGGTATTCTCCAAACCATCATCCCTTCCTTTTTTTCCTATACACCCACCAATTTAAGCGGCTTGTTATTTGCTGTTGATTAATTAAGCGATCAGATACAGGATATTATGGTCTTAGTTAAACCAGTATTTTCATAAAATTGGTTCGGCAGATTCACGATTACCTTTTTAACAAAATTTTTTCAATCTCTTTTCTTGGATGCCATTTTTTTCCCGTAGGTTTTATATCGTCCTAACTTGGCAAATCCAACTACACATCTATAAAACTAATTATTTGGGATTTGATATTTTTTTATTAAAAAAAGTATAAAGTCATTGAACTTGTCCACATTATTCTAGCTTCTTGACTCAAAGATATTAAGAAATCTTCTAATTCTCGAATTAAATAATAGATTATTGGTAGATTTTGATTTATTTCGCTTCAGAGATCATCATCCCAACCGTGTGGATAACAATAGAGGGTTTTCATGGCGTGAAAAGGATAATATGGCACCTGAATTTAATTTTACAATCTGAAATTGAATGCAATCGAGAAGGGAATTCCAGTATAGACTTGGCCACTAAAAATTTCCCATTAACACTTGGGTGACAAAACAAAAGGTAGTGTTCCCGTTCATTCCATGTTCGAATATTCGGATACAATGTTCAAATTATATTCGAATTAATATTCATTATAATCTTTTCAAATACTCGTGATTTTTTTCAAGAACTTGTGGCGATCAAGAAGAATGTTACAATACTCATATTTTGTTATATCTATATTTAATAATTGGTTGTTAATTGAATTAGTAATAGTATTTGCTTGCTATTTTTTATTTAAATTTTTTTTTTTTTTTTTTGCTTACATACACCCTCTGGACGGTCCAGAGAAATTAATGCTTTTACTTGACAAATCCGACATGTTTATCTTTATCATCATTAAAGTAATTCCAACTATCTTTAGACCTTACGTGCGTTTTAGATGTTTCACTGTTTGAACACGATTCTAATGAAGGATTCGAATCTTTCTCTTCATTTTCAATATATAATATAGCATTGTGTGTTGTCACTATTATCTGAAGGCATTTAAAAAAAAATTTTTCAAAAAAAAAAAAAAACAAACCCCAATAAGTATTTCGAATATGGCCTTGGGCAATAGAAAAAAAGCAAATTTGAGTTATATCGAGTTTTTTTTTAATCCAAGATCTCTTCATATCTCAAGAGTTACTATTGAGAACATTCGAAAGTATATGAATCTCGCATGCATTATGAAATTATTAATATTGCATCATTATTATTACTATTACCTAAAACCACATATGAAGTTCGTTATAACGATGCTTGGATACGATGATCACGAGACTAACATACGGATCATATTAATTGGCACGTCATTTTCACTCTTGTCAACCACTACTAATTAACTACACTTTGTAATGAATGATTGCATCATATCATCAACACTTAATAAAGAAAAAAATGCCAATTCTTATGAACAACTTCATTATCATCCCAATCAAAAAAAATTTTTTATACGATTATTTGCTGTTTTCGCTATTGCTTTCTTCCACCACCACCACTCACATTAGTATAATAATATCAGATATGCAAGTCACGTAGATTATAAATACAATAAAACTTATAAATGATCCAATAATATGTGTATAATAAATAAATACAATAGATGGACGTCTCTATATCGTGCGTCAACTTTATACTATTCCAATTATTATCATCATCATCATTATTGGATTTGTAAAACCTTCCATATATCCAAATTAATGAAATGAGAATTAGATTTACTATATCCATTTATTATTTATTGCGTGTATTCCAAAGGATATTTATTGTAGAATGGATTCCAATTTTTTTATTGGCTTTGGAGAATATTAAAAAATCAAATTCTTTATATTAAAATTTTATATTTTATCAACTTGTCTCGTAATATGTCTCAACTTACAGGTTAACAATTTCACTCACAAAATACGCAATCGTCAATAGTACGAAAGTTATCAGAATATCAAATCTTAATTTCCATTCAAAAACAAAATACTGAAAGTTTATCAGGTGAAAATAATAACAAATGTAGGGATTATACATCAACTATTAATATTAATATTATTTATTATTTTGTAAATGCATGCATGCATTTTTTATATACTTGGATAAAAAAAATGAGAATAATCAAAAATTCTATAATTTTTTTTATTATATTTATTGCTAATACTAATGTTTGGTTACATTTTATTTACTGCGAAACTTCTATTTAAATTTTAATTATCTTTTTTTTGAGATTTTTTTTTGGGATAACAAAATCATCCATGTCATCATCATCATCATCAAAATTTTCTTTTCTTTTCCCATTATCATTAATTGACCCTTCCCTGTTCACTTTGTTACTACTATTAGCACTAACAGTTGGAGGATGTGGTAGTGTGTATATCTTATCCAGTCTTGTTTGGAAGGTCTTTTGTTTTTGACTCTTAATAGCAATGGTATTACGATTCTTTGTATTAAGCATTTTTGGTACCATGGGCGTTGCTTTCTGGAATTCATTGCGAAAGTATTTCGATATTGTTGGTGATGATTGAGGGGGTGCTATATGTTCTTTAATATGGTCTACTTTATGACCCACTAAAATAGGTGAGTATGTAGTGGCTTGCTGACTATTGGAGGTAACAGGTTTAGATAATGATTGTTGTGATTTGTCATGATGGTGGTTTTGTGGTGGTGAGTTTCGAATTATCGTTGAATTTTTATCGTTATCAACTTTTTGATCGATAGTGGCAGTAATAGGTATGGAAGAGGGTATTTCTTGGCATTGACTATCATGATCATCATCGTCATCATCGTTTATTTCAACAAGTTGTGATTTTGAAGCTGGTGTCTCAAATACATAAGTGTTATTTTCATTACGATGTTGATTTGTTAAAATTGGTTTATCGCCGTCATCAGCAGATATAAATTCATCTATGTAAAGTTGATTATTATCTTTATCAAGAATACTTTCTGTAGTATAAATTTTTTTTGTAATAACGGACCACATTAAATCGTCAATAGTGCCCCTTGCAATAATGTATTTTACAACCACTGTATCAGTACGGCCAATTCTGTGAGCACGATCTTCTCCTTGAAACAATGCACTAGGGTCCCATGTCAATTCAGAGAATAACACAATGTCAGCAGCAGTCAGAGTAATACCATTATTTGCAGCCATAATTGATAATAGAGCAACTCTTGTCTCATCGTTTGTTTGAAAATTGTGGCAATTTTTTTCTCTGTCCTTTGATTTTGTTTCACCATCAATGCGCATATAAGATTGTGGACCATTGGTTTCCATGTAACTTTCCATTCTATCAAGAACCGATTTGTGATGAGCAAAGACAATGAATTTTTTATTTGTGTTCTCATATAAATCTTTGATGTAATTAATCACGAATGGACATTTTGCTTCGCCAGTTAGAGAATATATTCTGGACAAGCCCTCTTGATATTTTTTTGCAAATTGGTCAGATTTTTCTGAATTTAACGAATTAGCAATTTTGCTATACGATTGGTCAGTCTTTTCTAACAATTTTTTTATTTTGTCTTTCAGTTTTGGCTCGATCTCATCACACCACACCATCTCACGTTCTTTTGCTGGCAGATCATAACCAGCATCAGCTTTTAGTCGCCTGATCAAAACCGTTTTTTTTAAGACAGTATTAAGTTCTTCCAGATTAGTGGCACCAAGCTTGTTCCATCTATTTAAACGATGATCTTTGTATGCACCACAATACCTAACTGCAAATGACAATTCATTTGAAAAGTTTTTTGGATCAAGTGAATTTAACAGTGAATATATTTCGATTGGTCTATTCGGAATTGGAGTCCCAGTGATCAAGATTGCACGTTTCACACGTTTAATGATAGGAATTAGAGCAGATGATTTTTGAGTTTTTTTATTTTTGATGTTGTGAGCTTCATCTGCGATCACTATATCGAATCGATAATTTTTTGTCACGTTTTCAGACTCTTTGACAAACCTTTCGTAACCACAGATGACAAACATGATACGATCTTTTTTCACAATCTTATTACTATCAATGGTCTCTATTTGTGACTCTGGTAGTTTTAACCATTTGATGATTTCATTTTTCCAGACGTGTAGCACAGATTTAGGACAAATAATAAGAACTGGCCAGTTTGCCCTATAGTAGGAACATAAAGCAAGAGCTTGTAAAGTTTTCCCAAGACCTTGTTCGTCACTCAACAAAACACGACCTTCTCTGACCACCATTTCAACGAGACCTTCCTTTTGATGAGTATGAAGATTATTCCATAGATCTTTTTCAACACGTGACAATACTTGTGAAGTGGCAACCTCTTTTGACACGCGAATTCTCTTTTTTAAATTTGATTCAAGAGTAGTCAGTGAGAAAGGTTTTGGCTGGTACATATTTGCATTAAAAAAATTAAAAAAGAAACTCTCTTATTTTTTCAATGTAAATTATGATTTGTTGATGATTTGTTGATTTGTTGATAATGAATAAACAATAATAATAATGAAAGATCGACAAAATCAAGTTTATGATAAGCAATATGCAACATGAGGGAGGGCTTTTATGGCTGCTGATAATAAGTGAAAAGTGATAATTTAAATTAGTAAGGTTTGTGCATATGCTAGCTAAACTTTGACAAAAAACAAGTTATATTACATGTATTATTGTATTTATTATTATTATCACAAGAAAAACAAGCATCAACAAACATAAGAGTTTTTATAGAAAATAACTTTATTTTTTTTTTAATTATTTTTATTTTGATTGATAAAAAAAATTTAATTTCATGTCTTAGAATTTAGAATTATCATAGTTTTTTTTTTTATAACAAAAATAATAAGATGACAGACAAGAAGAGGTAGTAAAAATAATGAAATAATATTATTAATATAGTCCATCATTCATCAAATATATTTATAAGTTTTTTTTTTTTTATATTATTAACAATAAAAAAGAATAAATTTGGAACGAGAAAGAAAAATCTATTGAAATTTTAATATAAATAAAAAATTTTTCACTAAACTACTAAAACATTAAAAAAAAACACTTCTTTTTTTCTTTTTGATTTTCAAAGTAATCCAAAATAATAAATTAAAATAAAATAAAAATTTTTTAGATTTTTCCACAAGTTGTAACATGTCTTTTCCAAGCATCTTTTCGAGAAAAGGGTTTTCTACAGACACCACATTCATGTACTTTTTCCCCTTTATGAATGCCATTGATATGTCTCTTTAAGTCATGTTTACGAGTGAATCTGGAACCGCAATTTGAATATTCACAAGCAAAAGGCTTTATACGATTAGGATCATGCGTGGACCTGTGCGTTTGCATATTGAATTTGCGATTGAAGCCTCGACCACACTCGGGGCAAAGATGTTTTTTCTCTTCGGTATCATCTTCTTGTTGTTGTTGTTCAGTTACACTTGTACGCGGACGTTTTTTATTACGTTGTTGTTCTTGCTCTGCTGTTAAATGATCTAATTGATTTTCATGTTTTCTGATAGCATCAGATGCTGATGTAGCAGCAATAGTATTAACACCAACGCTTCCATCACTAGCAACCATTAATCTGGAATTATTAACCGTACTTATCATACCACTAGTATTTGAAGATATCGTGGAAGGTGATGCAGATGATAGGATTTTTTGTGTTAGCGAAATAGTAGTTTCATCAATATTATTGTTGTTGTTTGATTCTTCTCTTTTAATAAGTGAGAAACTAGTATTCAATAAATTATTAATATTGTTATTGCTTGTTGATATTGGTGATGTCATTATAGGTGTAGTCACTGTTTGTTTTGACGCTAATGATGGAGAAGAAGAAGTTGCAATTTCTGATGATGTTGGATTTATATTAAGATTGGAAGTATTGATATTATCATTATTATGATTTAGGCTATGATCGTTATCATGAATTTCATTATTATTAATTGTATTTGATTTTGATAAAGGATTATGAGCTTCGTCCATTTCCATTATTATTGGACTGAAATTATCAAAATTAAGAATAAGAGGAGTCGAAGAGCAAGAAAATTGACGGTACTGCGGTTGTTGTTGCAAATGTAACTGTTGTAATTGTTCAGTTATATTTATATACGATTGAGGACTCGGTAATATATCTTCTTCTGTTACTTCTCCTAACTGTGATATTTGTTGAGAGTCTTGTGATGTAGGAAATAAATTAAACCAGGCGGAACTCTGACCAGAATTATCAAATATTTTTGGATCGCTATCGTTTACCGGAGTACTGATAATGTTGTTGTTGCTGCTGTTAATGTTGTTGTTATTGTAGTTGTTGTTGTTGTTGCTGCTGTTGTTATTGTAATTATTATTATTGCGAGTGTAAGGTGTGTTAAAGGTGGTAAGAGGAGTGGGAGGGATGAATGGAGTTGAAGTTATACTTGAGTTATAATCTGCTTCCTCAGCAGGATTTATATATGGAGGGGTACTTATATATGAAGGACTAAGTTGAGAAGTACTTATATATGGGGTACTAAAATATGGAGTTGAAGGTGTACCAACCGTTGGCACAGTAGGAGTAGCAGCGGTTAGTGTGTAAGAAGTACCAAATTCAGAAGCTGTATTTAAGTTGTCACCTAAAAAATTAGGCGTAGTTATTGTGTCAGATAAGTTTGTAGTATTATTTATTAAAAAGTTATTTATATTATTTGTGTTTGTTGCTGAATTATGTTGTATTTGTGGTTGTTGAATAGTTTGTGGAAATGAAATTCTTGGGGAAAATAAAGGAACAGATGAATTATTAATATTAATGTTATTATTAATGTTATTATTAATATTATTAATGGTGTTCCAATTATGAATGTTGTTATTATTGTTGTTGTTTCTAAATGAATTAGAATCTGCTTGGCCTTTTGAACAATAATTGAAGTTGTTGTTAGGATTTTTATCAGCCACCGGAGAACTTGATAGAAGAGGTGAAGTGTTGGTGGTAGTAATTATGGGAAAAGAAATTTGGAGTGGCAGTGTGCTAATAAAATTATTTGATTGGTTTGCGTTGGTGTAACCAATATGATGTTGTGTATCGGTGATATTATAATCGAAATTTGTAGTTGATGGAGAATCAATTAATGACAATACCGGCAAGAAAGGTGATGAATCTTGTTGTTGTTGTTCTTGTTCTGGTTGTTGTAAAAAATTGAACATTTTAATTGATTGATTAAAAAAAGGTAAAAAGAGGAAAAAATCCAACAAGGTTTAAATAAATTAAAGGTTTCCAAGACAAAAATTATATATATATTATATTTATATATATATATATATTTATGTAGAAGGATTTTTTTTTTTAAATAAAAATGAAACTAAAATTAAAAATTAAAGATCAAGATTTATTCCGGAGAGGAAAAAAAAATTTGAAATAAATAAATTATAAAAGAAGAGGAAAAGAATATTTTTTTGTTGAAAATAAAAAATTATTGTTATTACAAAATTGTACAATTGAAGGGGAAAAAAATCGTGAAAAAAAAAGAATTTGATTATAAATATATATATTTTTTCCTGAATAAATAAAAGAAAGAAGAGAGAAATAAAAAACCTTAAAAAATTTATTATTTTTTTTTTTTGGTTGAAAAAAAAAGAAAAGAAGGAAAATTAAAACGACTATTTATTTAAAAATTTTTTTTTCACAAAAATGTTGTTTATTTATGAAATTTTTTTTTTTAAACAAATTTTTTATTATTAATTAATTAGTAAATAAAAATATGAATGTGAATACGTAATATACCTTTTATTTCTATTTTAAAATTAAGCTGTATATTTTAAAATTGTAAATAAATAACTGTCAATGCTTTTTTATTTATCAGGTTTTAAAATGTGATGATTCGAAATGATTAATAAATAAATATGCTGTGAAATTAATTGAAGGAAGAAAGAATTGAAAGAATTGAAAGATTTTTTTAAATTTTTTTGAAATTTTTTGAAATTTGAATTTCTTTAGTTAAAAAACTCAAGAAATCAAAGGTTGAAAATGAATATTTCTTAAAAACTCTGCGACGCCAAGTTATTTTACAAAATCAAAAATTTTTTTTTTTTGTATATTTGATATATATATTATTAATATGAAGTGTGATATTATAAAAAAAATATGATTTTCATTTATGGAATAGAAACTCCGCAATAGTAATTAGAATTTCTTTTGTTTAATCAAATAAACTGACTTATATTGTCAGACAAAAATAATTTTCTCCAAAGAATTTCTTTTTTCTTGAAACGCGCATTATTGAGAAAATCAAAATAAAAGACTGACCTTATCTTGTCAGACAAAATAAAGATGTTATTTCTTTTTGAAGGTCTATTGAGGTAAATTGGCGTATGTCGTCGTAGTTAATGGACGAACATTAATTATTGTGTGTTACAAGTAAAAACGTAATTTGAAACATTGTGCTAGCAGAAAAATCAATTATGGGGTTCAAAAGTAACCAGTTACACAATGCACCTCACCTTAATTCTAGTTTTTCAGGAATTTCTAGAACAATACACTCTATTTTGAGCGAACACTTGTGATCCTATCAATTAATCAGCCAAAACTTGTTCTTGTTTCTGGTCCCCAGTTTCTCGAAAAGCTCCTTTGTTTTGGCTCTCGCAGATTTTAGCAGATTGCAAATTGTAGTTTTGCTGTTTCAATTGATTCTTGAACGGAAAACCCTCGATTTCATCTGCAATTTCACTTGTATAACAGTCACCGGATATTGTAGGAGTTCCAAGAGATTTTCTCCATTTCGTGAATGAATTCATTGTTATCAAGGTAATGTCTCACTATGTTTTTGTGTACCCATTCCTACAACATGGAGTTGAAAGAGTTGATTACTAGCAATGACAAATTAAAAACAAACAAATATACCCGACTTGGCATAATACTTTTGGCAAAGAGACGAAGGAATTTACTCATTCTTTAAAAATTTCATATACCAAGCAACAGTTTCAGGAGCTGCTAAGCACGATTGCTTAGCCAAGATTATTCAGGATGTCAGATATTGCGAGTCGTCAGATACTGGTTAATATATATTTCGTGCTTGCCTTTTAATTTTAATTGATGAGTTATCTAGCCTAGCAAACCAAGAAAACAGAATGGTAACGTGCGTACAAATTTGGATCACTTGATTTTGTACCCTGAAATCCTGTGGCGTCAAAGTGTATGCATATTATAGCATTCAAACATCCCAAAATATTCAAGACTTTCTCGGAAATTTTTCCCAAAATATCAAAATAATAAAAAATGGAAATTGATCAAAGGATAATTTTTTTATATTGTTGTTATATAAATTTATAAATTATTAAAAATTATTTATTTTACCACACAATATAATTATTATCTTATCTTTATTATAAATATTATAAAATCATTGTATCATTTGTCATCAAGAATAATAGATTTTCGATTCACATGAGCTCTTCAACATATATATAAACTAACAAATAAATATTTTTTTTTTTGAAATTTAGGAAATTTTAATTTATGGATAAAGAAATCGTGTAACATTTTTATAAATTCAAAAATAAAAATGTATAATAATGAATTGTATAGTATGTTCATACATTCTATTCTTTTATCCTTTCTGGAATTAACCAACAATATTAAAAGATATCAATATCAAACTATTAATAGTAGTGATCATGTATTTATTACTATTTTATTATTATTATGATTAATGCGATTGTAAACGTGTCATCCTACATTTAATTTATGAATAATCTTAATTCATAATTACTCACAATTTTAGCATATTATTTAATTAGCATATTATTTAATAAGCAAAACAAACAAACAAAAAAATTTAGTGTTGGCAAAAGTCAATTGACGTCCTTTATAAAATTTTGGGGTTGAATATATCACGTGACAAGAAATTTATTTTCCATTATTATTATTATTATATATTACTATATAATTATTTCACTTAATAGAAATTCCAATCGTCAAGATTCTATTTAATTGATCAATTTATGATAATTGACCACAATCAGTAATTTTAACAGTTTTAGATGGTGTGCCATCTTCTGATCCAAGTTTTTCAATGGCTTGAACTACGCTCATTCCTAAACATTAAATTATGAAAACAATTAATAGGTCAATAATGTAGTAAATAATATTATATTCATATTATTATAATATTAATATTATTAACCTTCAACAACTCGACCAAAAACAACATGTTTATTATTTAACCAACTGGTATTGGCTGTACAAATAAAGAATTGAGATCCATTGGTATTTGGTCCAGAATTAGCCATTGAAAGAATACCTTTTGATAAATAAGGAAGAAATAATAATAATATGATTATTAGAGATAATTTCTTAGTTTATCAACCAATTATTTTATAAATAAAATTTTTCTCAAGTACCCTCTCCGGTGTGTTTCAAGTTAAAGTTTTCATCATTAAAATGTTTTCCATAAATCGATCTTCCACCTGTACCATTATGCTTGGTGAAATCGCCTCCTTGAATCATAAATTTAGGAATGATACGATGAAATTTTGAATTTTTGTATGTGTCTCCTTTCTCTCCAGTACATAATGCTCTAAAATTTTCAGCTATGATGATGACGATAATAATAAACAATGTTAAATTAATTATTAATAATAAATTAATACTAAAAAAAAAAACAAAAGACAATTTAATTGCCTGTTTTTGGTACAACATCGGCTCTTAACTCAAGAACAATACGCTTTTTCACATTAAAAACAAACAACTTAGTAAATTACTGCTCGTTCCTCATCAGGTAAAGTTTTTGGCAACTTACTCCAATAGGTTCGTCATCAGCGGTAACATCCAAGAAAACTTTTGGTTTTGCAATTGTTGTTAAAGTTTTAAAAAATGTTGTTGCCGTAGGAGTCGTTACAAATAATTTTTTGGTGACATTATTCAAAAAAAAACCCGCCATTACTTTTTTATTAAAAAAATTTTTAAATTGTGTAAATTTTTTTTAATAAGATGGAAATCACATGATTTTCTGCGGTAAGGGAGCGTCAACTTGGAATTTGACCAAACTCATCCAATACTATATAATAATAACTAACATAATAAAACCATAGTAAAACGGGAGAGAATTTTTGTAACCTGGCGGCGGGTGATTTTCTTTTTAGTTAAAATTGTAAAAGTATAGATCATGTAAATAACATAAGCCCCAAAATAATTTTGATAATTGTGGCGTTGAGCCATTTTCATCATTTTGTACAACTATATTAATTTGTGGCGTTAAAAATTTTTTTTATATTATTTATAATAATTAACATAGAAAATGATAATCGGCATAAAAACAAAAAAATTGATATTAAAAACCGAACCTAACTAAATGCGGCGAAAGAAATATTCCTTTAAAAAAAAAGAACTTGAATTTTTTGTTTTTTTTGTTTGTAGAACACATTTGTGTAATCCATAATCTATTTCTCACTTGCCACAAGTGTGTTTATCTTATCATTTATCTTATTTTGATCTACTACTTGTGATCAATTTTGTTACACTAAATTAATTTTTTTCTTATGAGTCATTATTGTATAAAATAAAAAATTGAATGCAAAAAAGAGGCGTCGTAATCATAATCACAATAATAATAATAAACATATGATTATGGTTACCAGGATCAATGTTCAATGTTCAACTCAATGTCCTATATAGATACTGTTTTATTAAAATATAGTTTTTTGGAAAAAAACAAGGTATATCTTACAAAATTTTTTTGACTGTGAATTGTCAAATGGATTGTTTCTGTATATATTATAATATTTAATATTAGTATAGTATGCGAATTTTTTTTCCGTATTGGGTAAATCGATATCATGCGCCACATGCATTCAATATTAAAGTTTTCGTGCAACAGAATACGATCTTATAAACAAAACATTAAATTTTATATATAAATATAATTGCTACAATATTAACAATAATCACCAATCAATTAAACATAAATCCATAATTATAAATTTTATACTCTTGGCAACAAGAATAGTAAATAATATTACATCACTTATTTTTCCAAGAAGGAATTTTCTCTTCGCTTTTCCTTGACATAAACAAAGAAGAAATATGGGGAGAAAAGGATATACCCTCAAAATAAAAATTGAAAATAAAATCTACATTCAAGTTTTACTATGAAAAGCGGCATGATTGTTAAACCAAAAATTCTACGTGAAGAGTAAAGCAAATAAATGTTTTCATTATTATTGGTTAATAAGATTATTAGATATTGTACGATTCAATCCCAAAACATCCACATTGCGGATGTTTTGAAAACCCACTACAGCACTATTTTAACAAAATATTAATAGACACATAAAAAGATCTCCGTGTCGATCGTTTTCCGTAAATTCTAACCAAGTTAAGCGAAATTTCTATATATTAATATTGTGTTTACGAAAAAATGCAAATTTGCCCCTAAGATACTAGTGGTATTTAACTCAAAATCCTTTTCTATCGAAAGACACTTACTCTCATATAATTAAATTTTATTAAATGAAATAAACTAACTGCTAAATTTTATTTTGGTAATGAACTATTTGCAATATATTCAGTACCTTTCAAAGCTAAATTATTCGATGACTTGTCAAAAAAATGCAATGGTGGCTTTAAATTTTTGGAGGAATTTAGTTCATCATTTATAAATATCGTTACGGAAACAAGAAATAACATTATTATTATTATTATTATTATTATACCTTTTTTTTACTATTGTGACAGGCATCGTTTAGCGCTCGTTAAAACAAATTGTTTGAATAATTTTATACTTTTGATCTCGGCACAATAAGCACAATATAACAAGTATGTGCTTATCAATAGAACAAGGACAATGCTGAAAAAAGATGTTTTACTGTGCAAAATGGGTATGATTTCTAAGCCAAAGCGCTCTATCCAAAGAGTTACATACAAAGGTAGTGTTAACTCAAAATAATATGATTTTCAGTGTTGACCTCGCTCCTATTGAAAAGGCTGCCGTCTTTTTTAAACATTTGCGGTTGTCTTGAATTATTTTAAATGATTTAATTTAATTATAATGCATACATCATATAACATTAGATTATACACTGTATATCATCAGACCGTATGCCTATAAATTTCAAATACATAGATGCCATCAGATTTTTTTTACTTTAAATTTTTCGAAAAAATACATGTGGGGGAAAAGATCCACAATCAAATTCTAGTATATAAGTGGAATATGGGAAATTACAATATTGTTTTCGTTCATTTCAGAGGTATGAGATGAATAAATAGTGATTAATATCAAAATATAAATATATTTACTTTTAATCATTGATAAACAATAATGCATGACCATCGTAGAGGTCGCATCCATCGAATATTCATTCGATCAATTAAATTTAATACCTGGATAATAATTAAAATAAATTGTTTAAATTAATTATTCAGTGAATGTTAACAAAAATTTTAAATTTATTAATCATTTTGTTACGTTCAAATAAAAATGGATCAAGTTTTGTTCTTTTTGAGATCATTGTATTTCTCACTTGGAGGTGGACATTGACAAAACAGAAAATCTATTTATGTTCCACTATTACTATATATATTAATTTTTTTAGGCTGATTTTCCTTTTACCAATTTTACCAACGTGGCATATTCATAACAATAACATCAAAAACAACATCAGCTGATTCAAAATCCATCTCATGAACATCATTTGCTGTGTTTTTGTATTTTTCCTTAATGTATTTAATCAAAGGATACACAAGACTAACTATATAATAATCACTGGAACCCAAAATCCGAGTAAATCCGTAAAATGGACATAATACATCTATTATATCCAAATGAAATACCATTCTTCTTCTTACAACATAACTTTTTGTAGTATTTTTTGATTTTCCTTTTTTATTTCTTAATATAACTGTATAAATTGCATCTTTCAAATTATAAATCCTTTCCTAAACCAGATAAGAAGACCTCCAACGAGTTGGAACATGATAAATGCTCCATTTCTCAGCTCTTGTAGAGGAACTCGAACTCTTATCGCCCATTTCTTCGGGGGTTTCCATGTGGTCAAAGAATAGACAGATTATCATATAATTTTTTGGTCTCAAAGAGCCGTTCTAATTCTTTACTACCACATAACCACCGTATGCAATTATTTCTTTCATATCATATCCGGGTATATTAATGCGTTTATGCAATTTATTAGTCTTCTCAAACATAATAGGGATAGTGATATTTGTAATATTTAACAATTTAGATAATTATATGTTTTATAGCGTGTTTTAGTTGTTATAAGACTTGTAATATTTATCAACTATATATAAAGAGGGTTCATTTTTTGTGTAAACTTGCTGTTATAATAGTCTGTTGAATTTATATATAAACTGCTTGATATACATGTAAAAAAAAACGAATAATCCACCATTATGCCACCCAAGAGGAATAGAATTGAAACCATCTATAGAGAAAAATCGTCAATCTTTGTCGTCTAATTCTTGTGCGGACGGTTTTTCTCTTAAATCAAGCTCGAGTTATCTATCCAAACCAAGTGTAAAGTATGGTCCAAAACATTGTCAATAATATAATGTCAACATATTTTGATATAATTAATTATATTGAGAGAATACTTTTATAGTAGGTGACATAATTTGTATTTTTTTGATTTATTGATATGAAAAAAAGATAAAAAATATTGTTATATAAAACCTGGACATGTGGTTCTTGCCTTTCCAAAAAATTCATATGACTGCAAGATTTTTGCCAAAAAAAATTTTTTTTCGTAAAAATTTTGAATACAAGTGATGCAGGAATAAATCCAATTTTTAAACTTTCATTGATACAATTAAAAATTGTTTATAAACTCCACAATATACGGCATTGTTGTGCGTGAAAATCAAAATCGTGTGAATTTGGAAATTTGAATACAAAATTCTGATTGGCTAATTTGAGTTTCACGCGCGTGAATTGCACACAGCATCATAGGATTACTGCTTCGTATTACCTTGATAATTTCTTTCAATAACGTATCTGATTTATCCTTTTATGGTGTGGTAGTTGCTCGTGGCTACCAGTACCACCGCCATTTATTCATTGTCATTAATACCACTATTACTACTACTGTTATTGTCATTGCCATTGTTATCATTTCCATTATCATCATTGTCATCACCGTCGTCGTCATTATTATTGACGTCGTTGTCATTATTATTAACAAAAAAAAAAAAAAACCTTGGTCAATTGCAAATGAGAAAAGAACAAATATCAAAGGCTTAGTTGTTAATATTGCCATTAACACATACTAACACATATTTACAACAATCTTCTAAAGCGAACCGCCCTACAGTCTGTATGATATTAACGATCTGAACCCTTTTTTTTTGGTCACTTCACGAATTTCTTAAAATCATCGCTTCAGAAAATTGCAGTTCCTTTTAAAGATTACTTCATTAATTTTTTCATTAATTTTACCTCAAACTATTCTCCACAATATGTAAAATCCTATATATTAATTGCGAAACAATCTATTGATAATCTCAATATATTGTTATAAAGTACAAGTTACTATATAAAGACGCTCTAATCAGTCATAGAACGAACGGATTTGGATATACTTTCATTTATTACTATAAAAACTTTCTTTAAATAAATGAGTTGTGTTATGAATAATTCGAATAAGAATTTATTATGAATGGAAACTCTAAATCAACAAATCATTGCATAATCGTTTTTAAAACATTGGATATACTTTTTTTCATATAATAATAAAATGTACGCTATCATGAGCATACGAAATCTTTTTATTTTTTTTATCCTTTACAAATTTTTCATACATATATTGAAAAAGTTTATTACCAATAAAAATGGCAAAAAATAAAGCTTTAACTCAAGTGATGACAAGAATATTGACATTATAGATATAGTAACAATATTGTATACAGAAAAAGATAAAATATCAATTATGGAGGAAGATAATCATAATTCTAATTTAACTATAAATGATGCTATTCAGGAAGAAGATAATCATAATTCTAATTTGATACAAATGATGCTATGCTATTCAACAACAAAATATAATTAATCCACATAATGGATGTGATATTTATGAAATAAAACGTAGTCCTAATTTAAAGTTTTTAGTATCTCACCCTAGAACTATCCAGTCAGATGATTTTGAAAAAGACGATGCTGTTGTCATTTGTATAAAAGGTCTTACGACACGATATTTGAGTCGATCATTGTTTAACAGAGAATATTTCCATCGTTAGTTGTGGTTTGGAATGTGGATCATAAAAAAATGAAGTAACCTATAAAGGTAAAGAGAACATTAATTTAATTTTGATAAATAATAGTTAAATCATTCACATCTTCCTTATAAATGACTTGATTGATTTTTCAAAGTTAAATGTGAAAAGTTCTTACACTTTTATAATATTCTTTCAGCTTTTTAAGCATTTGATAATCGATGTATCATTAACAAAATATTAGCACAATCAAAAGTGGTTGATTCCAAGTCGAAATGAAAGTCGTTATGGTTTGTTTGTAGCTACCAATATGGTATCTTTGTTCTTCCAGGTTGACAATTTCGAGTTTTAACATCTTGCTAAATTAAATAATATAGTATTACTAAGTATGCTTTAAAAGTGCATACATAAGAACACTAAATAAACCTACTTATTCTTCCTGCTTTTTAATCCCAAAGAGAACATATTAGAAATATCCATTCCGTTACTAAGTGATATTTTGCATTTCTGATATGTTTGTCAATCTCAATAATCGGTGTGTTAATTTCTGTTGTTATTTTATAATTAGATTGACAACCACCATTCATATGATAAACACTTATTTAATTTTCCTTTGGCATTTTTTTTTTAAAATTGTTATGACTATATACCACCAAGTGTATAAAATTCACTAGTCAATTTTTTGTGCATGTTGCACAAAAAATTGTAAGTGGTTAGTTTTTTTGATTTTTTTTTGTGCCTTATATAGAAAAATGTATATAATAATAATAGTGCAAGAATTTGCACAAAAATTTTAGTCTCGTTGTGCACAGTTTAAGGGGATTGTGCACACGAATTTTATAGAATTACTTACCCCTATATAAAAATAGTTAATATGAAGAAGGCTCATTTGCATCAGATTGAAGTTTCAGGAGCAATTTATTTACGTATTTGTTTTCTTGTTAAAAAAATTCAAATAAAAGAAGAAAAGGAGCCGAAAGAGAGGCCGTCGCTGGGTAAGTGTTTATCAAAAGAATGGTGGTTGTTGCCACTTGTTGTCACTCTAGTTAACCAATAATAATACATATCGTTACTCACGTTCTTTTTCTTCTTACAATGTGAACGGTCAAGAAAAATTGTCAATTTTTTCAAATATAACGTATCAGCAGACGCGAAACTATCACAAGAACAAAGGATAGTTTATGATCTAACGGTAAATCAACGCGTGAATGTATTTTTCACCGGTTCCGCAGGAACTGGAAAAAGCTTCCTGCTATCAAAAATCATCATAGCGCTTAAAAACATTTATGGCGTTGAAAAGATTGCCGTAATTGCCTCCATTGGTAGTGATGGTCAGATGCAAACAACAATCGGGATCGCATAATGTCAATATGATCTATTATATAGCATGTCAACTTTTTATTTCATCCTATATAATCTTAATATTAGAAGTAAAAATATATTATCTTGTTGTAATATAAACTCATTTCAATTATTAAAATTCTCAATAAATTTTGCTAATATGAAAAATTGTACAACACTGGTGATTAATTTAACTTGTCATCATTAATAGTTAAATAATGATAATAACGATTAATTTTATTATTATAAAAAGTCTCTTCAATATCAGTCAAATTCACCTTTAACACAAATTCCTAAAGCACTATTTTCACTAATTGCTAATACAGGAATAAACGTTATTGAAGGTTTAGCAGTTATTGGTAAACTATTAATCATCATTAATTTAATTGCTATAATAATAAAATAATAATAATAATAATTAATTAAAAAAAGAATTTTTATTAATTAATGGATTTTAAAATATTTCAGAGAAAAAAGTGAATCAATACCTTTTTTTAAATCCAATAATTTGATTTTAATGTTTTCAGAATAAAAAATTCTAATAGAAGATATATTATTCCAAAATATCATAATATCTGATGTGATGTTTGCTTGAGATTTTAAAAAGTGTTCAAATAGATTATTTAAACTTGTCGAGATATTATCAATAAGAATAGATAAAGTTACATCTGTTTGTAAATAAATAAATAAATATTATTATTATTATTATTATTATTATTATTATTATTATTATTATTATTATTAATTATTATAAAAGATTTTTACCTTTAAGAAGCTTTATTAATATTACACTACTAAAAATTGGACACATGAACCACACACTTGTTGTTGCATTAATAAATTCTGTTTTCTTATTATCTTTAAAAATAAAATTCAAATTAAAAAAATAACAATTCAAACAATCATGCATGCATACAAGTGAACGAGCAACTTACCTTCAAATATTGAAGGTTTCTTAAGAGTCATTTCATTATCTATTTTACCATCATGCACCAAAACTTGCCATTCAACTTTACTGCCACGTGGAAGAGACGGAACAACAACAAACAAAGTAGGTGGGTGGGTAAAATCTTTCTAAATCATTTTTAAAATGCATGATCTTCCAAAAAAAATTTATCAAGTAAATCATAATATACAGTAAATATAGAATTACCTTTGAAACAAGATTATCATCATAGTTAAAAAAGATTTTCCAAGCTTTTTTAACAAAATTAAAAGACTTAACATCATCTATATAACATATGCATAATGATGTTAATCTTTTCACTTCTAATCCTAGTACAGAGGTAACATTCTCTAAATTTTTCAAGGAAAGTAGAGTTTGATCTTCAATAGTATGAGGTAACTCCAATGATGATGGTATTAGACCAATTTGTCCTGCAATATAAGCATGATTTTTTGTCTAAATAAAATATATGAGGAGTATTTTTATTAATTGAAAAAAAGATATAAAATTAAATTGCCTTTCTTTAATCCCAATTGACTTACAATAGTTGCTTGAGAATATGGACCAATATTTGCAGGTGCCCAATAAGACATACTTTGTACATGCATAGTTTCCCTTGGTTTCAATGGTGATGATGTAATAGCCTTCAAATCAATTTGGATCCTAACTGGCGATTGTAGATTACAACCAACACATGCACTATAAAGTAATTCATTACACAAATGATGTAAATATTACTATTTCGTTTTCAAAAAAAAACAAAAACATAATTCATTATTATTTAACTTACCGTGGAGGCGGGTTTATGTCAAAAAACCTTTTATAAACTGAATTCATTCGTACAAATTCATTCATATCCTTTATAAATACATTCATATTAACAACATCGGACCATTCAAATCCAAAATTGTGTAATTGTGCTAATCATGAATAAAAAAATATCTAGATGCAATTAGTTATTTTATAATTAATTATTTTTACATTAAAAAACATCCAAGTATTTTTTTACTTTGAATATTCAACATGCATGCCTGAGTTTCTTCTTCAATATTATCAAATAATAAATTCATTTTGTGATTTTTGTTAGAATAAGCAGTTGTACCAGATATGTTACAATAATAAGATGATGAATTTGTATGTGCGGTGTAGATATCTATAAAAAAAATCCCTAAAATTTTTAGTATTAAATAACAAAACATATTATAAAGACTGTAATTTCTACTTGCTTGAGTTGTAAGTTTCTTTTTCAATATCATAATCAATAATAATTATTGAGGGAATTATATTGTTTGAAGCTTCATTATTTATTACCTTTTATATAAAATAATCATAAAATTAATCAATTCAAAATAAATAAAAAGAAGAAAACATGAGCAATAGTATTATTAAAAAAATAATGATACCTCTTCCTCATTTGTGATCAGTTCAAAAGTTTCCTTTAAATTTTCTTTCCAGTTAGGTAATGGTAATTTAGGATTTAACACAATTTCATTAGCTGGTTTTTCTTTTAATATCAATTTCTTTGGACGAAGATATGCTACTGTTGCAAATGCATCATCTGAATGTGTCACAATTTCTGTTTCTTCACTGATAAAGAGTAAAATTTTTATGAAAAAATGAATTTTTTCATAAAAAAATTATCCAACTATATAATCTTACATGATGATTCTTTTTACAAATAAAGGACAATCTAATGTTAATGTTTCATATTCACCACCTTCTCCACATATATGAACATCATATTTCTCATTCTAAAGGTTAATCATGTATCATTAAATTAAGGGCCCCAAAAATTTTGTCTAAAAATGAAAATCTTAATATACTATATATTATATAGTATGCATGCATGCATGCAATAATATAACTAACCAAAGTACATAAGTAAGGATATAACTCTTTGATAGATTTTCCCAAATGTGATGGTTCAAGGCCTTTGAATTAGATTGAAAAATAGAAAAGAAAGAATAACCTTAAAGACATATATAATTTATAAGCATATCAACGTCAATGAACCTAAGTCTAACCTATCGCAGCAACTTTAATCAGAATGGCAGTTAATCCAGAATTAATCATCTCAGCTAGCAATTCCTTTTGATTTCTTCGCCAAAGATATGCAAGTGATATAAGACCTAGACGATTACACCTAATTGATTTTTGATCAATAAGCTATTATTTTTTTTAATAAATTTAAATAAGGAAGGAGGAGAAACATTACACATTTTCAACACGAACTCGTTGATAATTTGATAAAATTGCCCCTACAGATATTGCTTTAATATCAGGATGACTTTCCTAATTTAGTAATTTTAATGATTAATAAACGGTTTTTAAAATTTTTATTCCATTCACACATCTACCTTTACTGTTTTTAACAATTCATATAAATCTTCAGTTTCATCATTAACAGTTTCTCGATAATCAATTTCTTGAACTATTGACTTGCCAACAATTTCTCGACGATAAAGTGGTAAATTCATGCATTCAGCATAATACTCGATAGCATCATGGCCAACTGTTTGATATAAAAAACTATCCAATTCATCTGAATAACAAAAGTGGTTAATAATTTAATTTGTATGATGCCAATAAATAATAAAAATATCAATTAACCTTTTCCTATATCTGATATTGGCTTTAAATTTGCTAATGCAACTATTTCATGACCATTTGCTACGCAATGTAACATATTATAACAACTGTCCTTCCCTCCACTTATTAACGCAACAATCTTCATGATATAAAAATTTTTATAACTTTTATTTACGATAAATCAGATTTTAGTATTAGTAAACATGATCGACAATCTTTACATATTAACTAGAATGACGAGTTACAGATCACAGTCAGTAGAGATTCCGTACAATTTTCAATTCCGTACTGTATATATTCGATTTAGCGGATATTTTTTAAAAATCTATATATGTCACTTATAATAAAATTCTCTCGATATTACGGATAATGATGTGGATAGCCTAATTTTATAATAATAAGCGTATAAGCGTATAATAAATAAGCGTAATGATGTATTATTAATATTTTAAATATTAACAACATTTTAATCGAACATATTGTTAACTATTTCTTGGCAACGACACTTATATATGTGACATTTTTTTTATTTCTTTAAATGCTGACAAATTTATTATGATTGATCAAATCTTGAACAAGAAATTGTAAACATAGTGTTGGGGCAACCTGAAGTTGAAGATAATGAGGGTGTTGATAAGATAAGTGAGCCAATTGTAACAAATAAAGAAGCTATAAATGGGTTGGAAAACGCGCTTAAATATATACAACAAAAAAATTTAGAAGTTGATTCTCAAATATATTGAAGTTAAAAAGAGAAAATTTCTTATATAATTATTATTATTATCCGTTATATTTTGTTTTTTATATACAAAATTATTTTAAATAAAAAAAATTTTTTTCATTTAATTTGTATCACATGATTTGATCATAAGTTTCGATTTAGTGAATCTCTCGGTTTAGCGGATAAATTTTCTGGAAAAAAATATCCGTTAAATCGAGACTCACTGTGTATTAATGATAATGGTTATAATCCCAAATGGGATAATTTGCCCAGACTGGGATATTAAACATGTATATAAGGAACAAGAATTCGCTGTATTTTAAAAGTAAAAAGTATGTTTTTGTGTAATTGATACACTTTGGGTTCTCCGGAATTTTGCTATAGTGTACCAAAATCTACTAAAACAAATAAACAAAGGATAAATTTATTTATTTATCAAAAAAAGAAATAAAGTATATAAACATGATTGATTTTGAGATTGACATCAAAAAAATTTGCAACATTAAAAAGGAGCAAAATTAATTATTTCGCAATAAAAGCTATTTGTTTGTTTGTTTATTGTTGTTTTTTGATTTTGGTATTAATGCATG